CTTGCGTGTTCTTTCTGTGGTTAAGCATATACCAGATCACCGCACCTATAGTGATTTACTTGCATATATGTATATATATATATGTATATATATATATATATATATATATATATATTTATATATATTTATATATATATATATATATATATATTTATATATATATATATATATATATATATATATATTTATATATATATATATATTTATATATATATATATATATATATATATATATATATATTTTATATATATATATATATTTTTTATATATATATATATATATATATATATATATATATATATATATATATATGTGATAACCACAAGGAAAGAAAAAACACGTGTTTTCCTTGTGGTTATATCATCTTGCACCCACAGTGATTTACTTGTGTATATATATATATATATATATATATATATATATATATATATATATATATATATATATATATATGTATATATATATATATATATATATATATATATATATATATATATATATATATTTCTAATGAAAACGTGGATAAGATAAATCTTGATAAAATCACACGGGAAAATGGAAACAACAGAACACCTTAGCTTTCGTCTTTTATTCGAACTCTTCAAGCTGAAGATGTCTTGAGATATATATATATATATATATATATATATATATATATATATATATATATATATATATATATATATATATATATATATATATATATATATATATATGCAGGCATAATTTCGCATTATAATTGTGTAAACTAGGTGTTTTGATTTTCTTTCCCAACGCAGCAGTTATTTTGGCAAATGTAGTGAAATTTTCGTTTATATATTGATGTATTAATTATGTAAGAATATTCCAGAATGTATTGCATAATTTTTTTTATGATTTACTTATTATTATAAGCCTCGATCAGAATAGAACGTTCTAGAACCACCCAGGCATCTCTGGGTGGTACTAGGCTGTTCGAAATGCGTCTGGCGAGACATACTGTACTGTACAATTGTACATACCTGTACAAGCGGCAGTGACAGGTAGGTCGATCGCTTCCGCTCGAAATTAATAAGAACTCCTAGTAGAACAACTGAAGATAATTGTTGTGCAATTAGTGTGGAATTGTTGTGAACAATATAAAGTGAAAGGATTAAGTAATTATACACTGGTAGTGTGGTGACTACAGTATACATTCTAAGTGAGAAATCCAGCCGTGAAGCCATTACCCTGTTAAAAGTGTGTTTCTGTGACCTGGTGGAAATCTACCTGCCTGTTGATTGATTGATTGATACGTTTATTGAGATACAAAAAACATTAATACATCTCAAAGGGATGAAGTGACATAAGTCATCCCCACCCCAGTCCAGGAATGTCCCTCTCAGGACTCCCATAAATCCCTAATATTTCATATAATCAGTTATAGTACATAATTATATTCTAGATGCAAAATTTCTATATTTCTTTAATATTTCATCTATTTTCCTATTTTAAATACCTGCCTGTTGTTTGTCTGTACACTGATACCAATCGTCGGGAAATTACCGGTGACTGGGAGAACAGCCAATGGTAATTCAACAACACTTGTGAGGTATCCACTGCTTCTGTACTGTACATACGACCCTAGCCGCTGGTAAACAGTAATGGTAGCTGGGTAAGCGGTGAAAGAGGGGGGTCGTAACAATACACACACACACACATATATATATATATATATATATATATATATATATATATATATATATATATATATATATATATATATATATATATATATATATATATATATATATATATATATATATATACTCAGGACGGGTGTGTTCCACCAGCCGCCTTGTGTAATGTGCCTGGAGAAGGGAAGGGGTGTTCGAGTAACAACGTTAATGATAACTTAAATAGCAGAGATTTCAGGCATTAGGCAATTAAAACTCCATACTTAAAGAGCTTTCAGTAATGTTTATTTCCACGAATTTGTTGATAACTTATCTGGTACGTCTTGGCACCAGCTACAAATAACACATTAAATTGTGTATTCATCATCTATTTATGTATTACTTCCCACCGTCCTCATATATGTATAAACTTGACTGTAATGTTTACTGGAGAACAGCTAAGTGTGGCATGTAGTCAGCAGTCGCTGGCAGGGGTTGCTTTCTTTTATTCTCTTCGCCACTGATGGGCTCGTTAGCCGCTTGGGCAGTCGGTCACGTCTGTGTTACGCACTGTTAGCAAGTACAGCCTGTACTGGGTATGTACCGGCTCCTGAATGTATTTGTACCTGCTCCAGTGTTGGTCATGCCTGGTCTTGAAAGAACCCACACTCGTTGCCGTCACAATACTCCCTGGCAGGTTATTCCAAGAGTTTCTAATTATCACTCCAAAAAAAATTGCTCACAGTTTTCTGGACTTGTGGCTTCTTCAATCTTGGGCCGTGACCCCTTGTGGGGCGGGCGTCCACCAGCTCCAGGTATGGACACTCGACTGACTACTGTCCTCCGAGATGTTTATACACCTCAATTAGGTCACCCCTTGCCCGTCTATATTATAAGCTAGACGGCAGTTGAAGGCTTTCTAATCTCTGGGTAACAGAGGTGCCTTAGAGCAGGCACCAGTCTGGTGGCCCTCCTTTGGACATTTTCAATCAACTGACAGTCTCTGGCATATCTCGAGAACCAGACGGGATGGCAGTACTTCAAACGGGGAAGCACCTCACTCTTGAAGAGGTGCTTCCCTGTCTAGTCCCCGAGATATACTAGGGACTGTCAGTTGATTGAAAATGTCCAAGGAGGCCACAGATGGTACCCTACTACCCTTCAGTTACCCAGAAGGATTTGAACTGCACGAATAAAGTCGTTTGGCGTTAGCCAGAATAAGATACCTAAGTGTGCTAGTGCCCTCTAGAGGGTTAATGTATTTGGTGATAATCCTCTTAACACCAAATCATCATGAACCTCGTCTGTATTACAACTGTCTAGTTTCACACGTTCGTTGAAATTTTGTGTAGAAGAGATATCACGTGTTTATATAACCTTTGAGGACGATAATCTAATAATTTTGTCTTTAATGGTAATATTTATGATATAAACTTCAATGGATTATAAACCATCGCAATTAAGAGGACAAATCCATCAATATTACGTAGCTGTCCTAGACATGTACTGAAGCATAACAACTTGTCGATGTGGATTGTGGACGTGCAGGACCGCTTACCTTGGGTAGATGGTTATGTCTCCAAACATGTTGTAGGGGTATCGAGATATTAATGTTGTCTAGCACTCAGGATGGAAGGAAACTCTAATGTGGTTTTCTTGTATAATATATATAAGTTATATGATAGACAGTCTGGTGCTGCGGAGATGCCGTGTGGTGAGAGCAGCTCAGTAGAAGACGTTCAGGGGTATCGTGTTGAAGGGTAGATGTGCAGGAGCTTCGTTAGAGAAGGTGTTGCCTGTTGCTGGCCTCCTGGTTGAATGAAATGTTAACAGCGTGGAGCTTGCTGGAGGAGATGTTGCTTGTTCAGGAAGAATGGTCAGAATGAGAGTTGGTTGGTGAGGAAGCTCAGAGAAGGACATGCTCGCTGGCGGGAGCGAGGACCGCCAGGCAGGCGGAGGGCGGGTCTGCCAGGCAGCGGCAGAGGAGGAGGTGTGTTGCTTGTTCAAAAGATTGGTCAGACTGAATCTCAATGGAGAGACAGAGCTTATATACCCAGCAGCAGCCGCCATGAGTCATGGTGGGAAAAACCAGTAGCCGGTGAATAGTTTCGTTGCTAAGATCCGTAACATCTGGTTGGTTGCTAGGGAAGGCGGCACATGGAATGCGATAGCAGGTGGTGAGCTGCTACGCAGTTGTAGGAAGTTGTAGGGAGGGTCACCAATACTCCCCCTCCCCTCAGGCGGTGTAGGAGACTTGTTGTTTGTAGAGTTGCTTAGCACATGTGAGGAAGACCGGGCAGTGCATGCCTCATGTGAGACAACGGCGATGGCGTGATGAGCCGATCGCTGAAATACAACTGTCTAGATACACACTATCTGTGGAGAAAGGAGAAAAAGGGTGTGTGGAGGCGATGAATGTTGTGCTTCCTCACGACAGGTACAGGGTCGTCAGATGCGCCTGCTGGGGTGTGTGGGCCTGGATCAGGAGCAGGGCTGGGTCAGCAGAAGCGGATTAGGGCTCGTGACAGCAGCTGGGTCCACGACAGCAGCAGGGTGCAGGACATTAGCAGGGGGTACCTGGGGAGAAAAGAGGGGTGTGGAGGCGATGGATGTTGTGTGCTTCCCTCACGGCAGGTACTGCTGGGTCGGCGTCTGAGGCAGGACGGGTGTGCTGGGGTCGTCAGAATGTGGTGCGTGGGGCAGGAAGAGGAGCCGGTGTCTGCTTGAAGTGGGAGCGTGATCAGTCTCCTCCATCCTGTGTGAGTGCTAATCTCCGGGAGTCACCATTGTAGGGGTATCGAGATAATGTTGTCTAGCACTCAGGATGGAAGGAAACTCTAATGTGGTTTTCTTGTATAATATATATAAGTTATATGATGACAGTCTGGTGCTGGGGTGCCGTGTGGTGGGGAGCAGCTCAGTAGAAGACGTTCAGGGAGTATCGTGTTGAAGGAGGTAGATGTGCAGGACTTCGTTAGAGAAGGTGTTGCCTGTTGCTGGCCTCCTGGTTGAATGAAATGTTAACGCGTGGAGCTTGCTGGAGGAGATGTTGCTTGTTCAGGAAGAATGGTCAGAATAGAGAGTTGGTTGGTGAGGAAGCTCAGAAGGACATGCTCGCTGGCGGGGGCGAGGACTGCCAGGCAGGCGGAGGAGAGGCGGGTCGCCAGGCAGCAGCAGGAGGTGTTGCTTGTTCAAGAAGATTGGTCAGACTGAATCTCAATGGAGAGCAGAGCTTATATACCCAGCAGCAGCCGCCATGAGTCATGGTGGGAAAACCCGAGAAGTAGCCGGTGAATAGTTTCGTTGCTAAGATACGGTAACATCTGGTTGGTTGCTAGGGAAGGCGGCACATTGGAATGCGATAGCAGGTGGTGAGCTGCTACGCAGTTGTAGGAAGTTGTAGGGGAGAAGTCCACTACAATGTTAACCTTCGAGAAAAAAACTAGATTAGCATTAGGCAAATGGAAATGTGTGCAATTGCAATTCTTTTATCAAGCATATTGAACTAAAGTGTCAAGTGCGAATACTATAAATTATATAACAAGACCACCTGACCCAGTGCCGATAATTGCCCAAATAATGGATAACCATCTGAATACTGAACATTTTGTATATCGACCTGACGTAGTAAAGAACAGCATGTGAACATCTAATTCGCAAATCAACATAAGATATTCAGATGATCTGCAAAATACATTTTAGAAATTTTAAAAAGCAACGTGGTACATTGTTCATACAGCTTCGGCGTCATTCGAACATTTACTTGCTAGGTCAGTCATGCTGGTGTTGTCCCTCCGGCGTGTATTTGGTCTTGGCGTGAGACTTGGCGCTCTGGTCCTCCCCGGCGATGACTAGTGTCTGGATAGCCTTGGCGGGGAGGTGAACGTTAGTATACCTCCCATACCCGACCTCCACACTAACTTCCCGCGCCTCCTCGCCCCTGACAACAAAAGCAACACGATTGTTGACAGAGGTAGGCAGACATTAGTCAAGCTGTCAAACGAGTTTACATTGATTCAGCATGTACAATACAGGGTATACAAATAATGTACACAGATAATGCATATCAAACCCCAAATAATTAGGAAATGGTATAATTCATTAGCTTAATAATGCATTCAACACACAAACTTTATCTGCAGTATTAGAGCTGTGAACTCCTTTATGATCAATCTTGACTACCACCGGCACATTATCAGGTACAGTCGCCGACAAAATACACCCAAGAGCCCTTATATACACAGTACTTACCAACAGTACGTAACAGAGAACTAATTGACTGGCTAGTAAGCTGAAGAGTGGGAAAGAAGAGGATGAAAATAAGTAATACAACAACATGTACACTCGCTCCAAAAAGTACCTTTACGGTGGGGTCCGATGAATTTAAAAATGAACACTGCTACTCCTGTTGTCTCGGTAAGGTTGTCATATTATTTAACACAAAATCGTAAAGATAATTTTTGGAGCAGGCGTGTTCCCGATTACAAACAGGGACGGAATCCACACAAATTAAATACGAAAGTTGTTCTTAGCAGTTATCACATCTATTTTAATATCAGAAACAACTTTAGACATAGAGCTTGACGGTCTGTTCATTGATTTCAAAGCACTTTGGGAGTCAGAATATCACCCCACCTCCAATCTCTTTAAGGTAGTCTGTAGCTAAGTAGATTCCCAGTAGTCCAGCTTGTGTTGTGCTGGCCCAGTTGTTCAGCCTTTGCTTGTTTGACACTATCATCTCTTTTTCTTTATATATTACAATTGCACAACCTGTTCGACCTGTGTTTGTCTGCACAGAACCACCAGTTAAAGCATAACACTGGAGGGGACATGTCCACCCATCAGTCCCTTCTGGTAATGGGGGTGCGTCTACCTATTAAAGACAAATACTCTTACAACGTGGACAATAGCCATAAAGGGATTGATGATGATGATATCGAGACAACACAAACACATTGCAGGTATTTAGCAGGTCTCTATACTGTAGTAAAAGGGTCATGTCAGGTGTAATTCTTTTTTTTTTTTTCATCTTTATCGTATTTGAAATTTAGACTGTTTTGTTGAAATGTTGGATATGGACTAACTGCTTCGCAATCTCAGCTCAGCCTCTTCCTACAGTTTTTCACAAAATTTTCTTACAGAGAGATTTGAGGGATATTAGAGTACACTTCTTTTCTTCTTTTATCCTCTTCACCACTGATCGGCTCGTTAGCCGCTTGGGCGCTCGGTCACGTCTCTGTTACTTTTCTTTTTCTTTTATCCTCTTCACCAAATGATCGGCTCGTTAGCCTTGGGCGATCGGTCACGTCTCTGTTACGCACTGTTGGCAAGTACTGGGCATGCACTGGCTCCTGAATGTACCTGAACCTGCTCCAGTGTTGGTCAAGTCTGGTCTTGAAATAAATCACACTCAGTGCCGTCACAACACTTTCTGGCAGATTGTTCCAAGAGTTCACAACTCTCACTCCAAAAAAGTTTGCCCTAACAGTTCGCCCCTTGCCCGTCCGTAGTATTGTAGTGGATACCTCCCCTACAAACGCTGTTTGTCGCCGAGTAGCCGACCCCGCGAATTCCCGTGTTTGCCTCGTGGTCTAGGTCAACCAGCGCCGCCTTACATGACGGAGGTCAACTATTAAGCCACGCCTACATCCGCTATATAAGACCTGACCTCGTGGTGACCTACCTCTCTTCTAGCTACAGCCGCAGCAAGCAACACCACCTCCTCCGCCGCTGCCTGGCGGCCCTCGCTCCCGCCGGCGAGCATGGCGACCCCTAGCTGTCCTCCTCTGAGCACCCTCACCAACCAGCTCTCTCTGCATCACGCTTGTAACCATGCTGCCTTCCCAACACCATGCTGCATTGTACACCCAATACAATATGGATACAGAGAGCACATTGTGAGTTTCCTTTCTCCATCCCATCCTGAGTGTGAACCGAAACAACTCGTACCCCACAGTTTAAGCTAGGCAAGTTCAGGCGCTCCAATCTCTCAGGGTAGTTGAGGTGCCGAAGTGCAGGCACCAGTTTGGTGGCCCTCCTTTGAACATTTCCAACCAACTTTTACTTTGGTTTCTAAGAGGAGTTATGCTGACGTATTAGCAGGGCCACAGGAGGGGGCGGAGGGTAATGCAGGATCAGAACAGGTTCTACAGCAGCTAGGGACTCTGAAGAAGTGTGTCGAAGAAATGAATATTAACGGACCTACTGTTAGGGGAGAGGAGGAACAACGGGAACGTTTCCAGCGCAGGAACAATGTAATAGTTTTTGGAGTTCCTGAGAGCCAGGCGGAGGTGGTAAGATAACACACGATAAGATGCAGTTTAAGAATATTTGTACAGAGGTTCTGAAGATGCCATCAACCCCTCAGGATGTAAGGAGGCTGGGACAAAGCAGGGGCAAGCCTCGCCCCCAGGATCACACTAGTGAGTGAGGAGGAGAAATGGGAGGTTATTCGGCAGGCAAAAACAGCAAGGAACGAGGCATTTCGGAGTGTATTCATTCACCCAGATCGCACGGTATTGCAGAGGGAACAGCACAGGAAGCTCCTGCAGGACTTGAAACAGAAAAAAGAGGAGTCGAGGAGGAGCGGGGGCGGGTGTACATGGGTTGTATTCAGGGAGAGAGTGGTGGAAGCAAGTGTGCCGACACAGGGCTGAGGGACAGCAGCGCACCCTCCACCAACTCTACCCCCTGCCCAGGAGGTGGCACCAGCTCCGCCTTTCAGCCGGGAGGAGGCGAGCGCCTTGTAAACAAAAATTTAGTTTAACAAATTTATTGGCAAAGCTTTAGTACAGTTTGCCTATTCTGAGTAATTCAGTCAGGTCTTGACACTGAAGGTGGAATCACTTCTCAAGGCCACGCAGGGCAGAGGTTCATACACAAAGAAATACATCATATTCATTAACAGCTATATATGTATAGAGGTCAGATTCATGTGGGTAATGTCACTGTTCACTGCCATGCAGGACAGAGGTTCGTACACAAAGAGATGCATCATATTCATTGACAGTATATACACATATATATATATATATATATATATATATATATATATATATATATATATATATATATATATACACACACACATACATATACGTGTATCTATATAAATATATATATATATATACACATATACATACATATACACACACATATATATATATATATATATATATATATATATATATATATATATATATATATATATATATACATACACATACATATACACATACATACACACACATGCACATACATACATACATACATACATACATATACATACACACACATACATACATATACATAGGTCAGATTCATGTGGGTAATGTCACTTCACTGCCATACAGGACAGAGGTTCGTACACAAAGAATGCATCATATTCATTGACACTATATATAGGTCAGATTCATGTGGGTAATGCCACTGTTCACTGCCATGCAGGACAGAGGTTCGTACACAAAGAAGGAAATACATCATATTCATTAGCAGTATATATAGGTCAGTGGATCACATACATTGGAGTCATATTCTAATTGAAGACTAATCAGTGTGGGCTAGCAATGACGTTTCTTACCACACCCTGCAAAATACAGTGTACTTAGCAAATGCTGCAGCTTCTGAGAATGGGGGGGAGGGGGTACTACTAAGAGCAGAGACGTTACCGAGAACAGATTCTGGCTTGAATGTCATGTACACTAATACTGACACATTCCTTGATAAAAGAGAGGCGTTTGAAACACTACTGAAGGTACACCAATCAGATATTGTGGGAGTTGTAGAACTGTTGTACGAGAACAGGAGAATCGACCCAGAAGAATGTGAGTTCAGTATTGCTGGATATGACTCATTTACGAACCTTTCTCAAGAAACTTGCAAGAGGGGTGTGATTATATATACAAGGCAAGACCTTAGAGCCAGCCAGGCAAGGGTAAAGGGAGAGGATGTTTTTGAAGAGTCCAAGTGGTGATAAAATTAAACTAAAGGGAAGGGACTTACTTATTGTCGGGTGAATCTACAGATCCCCAAACTGTGGCCCACTAAATCGAAGGAACTTAAGAGCCTTAATAGACAACGCGGCGATGCTCAATCCTAGCCACCTCCATACCATGGGGGATTTTAACTATGGCGACATCGACTGTAGAAACGAGTTCAACCCAAATGACTTGAATAACCCTGCTACTCTCTTTGTAGAAACTCTGAGAGATAATATTCTGTTCCAACATGTTAGAGGCCCGACACATTACAGAGGGGAGCAAACACCCAAGCCACTAGACCTCATCATAACAAACGAGGAGGGTATGGTGGCCAAACTGGAACACCTTGCCCCAGTTGGCACCAGTCACCATATAGTATTGTCATTTAGATTTAACTATTACCTAGTTCAAGATAAGGCCAAGCCAAGGTGCAAATATTACAGGGGAAATTACAACGGGATGAGAGAAGAGATGAGGGGTATCCACTGGCCTGACTCATTAAGGCAGAAGAACGCAGACACTACGCTGAATATCATAACTAGTAAAGTGACCCATTTGATCGATAAATATATACCCAAGACCAAACCCAGTGCCTCTAGGAATACGAGAGGATCCCTACACATGAACCACAAAGGCGGTCGACAAAGTTAAGAAGAAAACCCAGAAATTCAAGACGTGGGTTGGGTCACATGATGAGCAGGACAGAAGGATGTATGCAAGAGCCAGAAACCAAGTAAAGATAGAATGTAGAAGGGCTGAAAAGGAGTTCCAGAGGCTGGTTGCAAGCGAGGTCAAGTCAAACCCAAAGGTGCTTTACCACTATGCAAAGTCGAAATTAAAAACTCGATTAGGAGTATCAGACCTGAGGCATGAGGATGGTAGTTACGCAGATTCTGACCAGGATAAAGCTTAGGCATTGAATAGCTTCTTTTCCTCGGTGTTCACAAGAGAGGATGCGATT